TTCCTTCTTATGGAAAAGAACCATCCTGCTCCTCCATCCTGACAGGTCTGGCTGATCTTGGGATGTCAAGGGCTGCCTCTCACCAGCTCCGGGAGCACTGTGGCTCTGTGCTTTCCTTGCTATGAAAAGAATCATCCCTCTTTTCAGATGCCCATTGCCATACTTGGTACTCTCCTTAAAGAATTCCTGTATGAAAGGGTATTTCCCAGAAGAAACCTGCCAGCTCTTGCTGGCCTTGGCCTCTGGTGGTCACTTCTCATCTGCCCGGGAAACACTGGGGCTCTGTTCCTTCATTTCTTTGGAAAACAACCCATTTTTATGTCCAGGGGCCATTGCCAAAATTAGAATTTGACCTCCCAAATTCCGTATATCCAAGGATTGCTCTTAGACAAAATAGCCAGGACCGACAGGTAGGGCTGGCCCTGTCCTCTGGTGATTTTCTTAGACTATGAGCTGAATGGTTTCAATTGAAAACACCTTGGAGAGGGTCCAGAGATCTCCCAAGGTGGGGTTAGGGGGCCTCGGGCCCATGACCACTACATATGGACGAAGGAGCTCTGTGCTCTGTGCTGTTGTGGTGGTTTTGCATCATGGAAGTGACGTCCTAAGAGAAGCTGCTAGCAGTTTCCTCCATGTCTGACAAAAAACCAATCAGTATTTAAATCTGAGAATTAACAATCTATTAAACCACTACTGAGGGCTGAAATCCTCTTGTAAAACTGTGGAGAAGGATGAAATTGATACATCAGGCTCTCTTTTTCCTTATAATGCATTGAAAAGTATGTGGAGATGGCTTGTTCTGCAAAGACTGCCACACTAAAGTAAGAAAATATTCAAGTAGCTGTGATCACATGAGAAGTTTGAACAGAGAAAGAGAGCAGAGTGATGAGACTCTGTGCCCTCAGGGAGAGAAGAAAAAGATCTCTGTTCTCAGAAATGAAGATGATTTAAGAGATACATGAAGAGAACCTTTGCTCTTAAAAAGATAATCTTTAAACTAATACCCCATAAGTTGTCATGGCCCATAAACACAGCTGTGGGAAAAGCTGTGAAAAATGGGAGGGACTTCACGATTACAGATTTTCCGGGCAGCAGCTGTTTGTGGGAATTGAGAGCTACGAGAAAACTTTTCTTATGGAGAAGTTTCCATAGCATGAAAGAGAGACTCCTCTCCCTAAGTGAACTGAAGAAAGACTATTCTAGTAGTGGCAAACTGAAAATTTTAGGCTTTGACTCTATATTTTCACTAAGAATTAAAAGGTTGTAGAGAGATGAGAATTGTTCTATTGTTCTGAACAATTTGTTCTGATTCTTATTCTTATTACTGTTTCTTTTAGTTGCTATTAATAAACTTTTCTTTATACCCTTTTAAAGTTTTGAGCCCACTTTGCATTTCTCCTAAACCTATCTCACAGCAGGAAATGAGTAAGAACATTCTGGTGAGTGCACTGGTAATTAGCCAACACTGACCCCACCACAACAACTGAGGCATTCGCCAAGAAATCGCAAAAAGGTGAACCCAAACCACTACAGAAACCTTCCTGACGAACTGCATGAGAGCAGAAGGAAATGAAGGCAGAGCCATAGTTTCTCCAGACTTGCTGGATCCTAATGAGCCCCGTGGTGCATTTGGAGCTGAGCTCAGCGCCTGAGAGGAGATTGCACAAACCTTTCAAAGAGTCAAAGTCAGAGGAAAAACCCAAAGGGCCTTAAGGAATTAATGGGTGCCTCTGAGGTCCATCCCCACAACACAGGCTCCTCATGGAATCCTTGGATGAGAGAATTGCAGGCCACAATGGCACAAAAAACCCTCAGAGATTCAGTGTGGAAAGGAAAATCCAAAGTACCTTCAAAACCTTGAATAACTCAAAGTATTAATGAGCCCCACAGAGTGTCAGTACAAAACTCTCAAGGGGCTAATTAAAGCAGATAACTGGAGGCAGTGACTGCACAATCTTTCTCATAAAGTCTGTATCAAAAGGAAACAAAAAGTAGCTTAAAAAACGCTGCTCCCAGCGCTGGGGGACAAGATCTGGGGGGAAGGAGACAGCTGGTAAGGCTTGGAAGTGTTCTCCTTGTGTGGTGAGGATGCTGCATTGTCAAGGACTGCTCTCAGCATGGCATTTAAGCCCAGATCATTTCCAAGTACATTATACAGGGAGCACAGCAGGGCACAGCAGGGCTGCATAAATGAGACAATCCTGCTTTTATAATCTCCTGCCCTGAATTGCCTGGATGGGAAATTGCTCATAGATATTAATATCTCAGTTCAAGTTGTGAAAAATAAAGAAATTTTCTCTCAGATTTTACTAAACCGGGGAGTAACTGGGATCTGCACAGGGCCCCTTAGAGGCACCATCAGTGTTGCTTTTCCAGCCTCCTCAGGGCTGCTCTGATGTTCCCATCAGAGCCTGCAGAGCCAGGGCTGCCCCTGGGCAGTGCCAGAGTTGGGAGGGGTCTGCAGGGCAGAGCTGAGCCCCCAGGGCTGGGCTGGGCTCTGGCAGCTCTGGCAGGGCCCAGCCCTGGGCACAGGGAAGCAGCTGCTGGCAGGGACAGCTCCAGGCAGCAGAGCCCTGGGCAGGCAGTGGGGGGAAAGTGCCCCCAGGCTGGGCTGGGATATTTAAAGTCCTCTCCAAACCCAATGATTCCATGATTAATTTTTTTACAGACCCCAATGCCAAGATACAGCAGATGTCCAACAGCAGCTCCATCAGCCACTTCCTTCTGCTGGCACTGGCAGACACGCGGCAGCTGCAGCTCCTGCACTTCTGCCTCTTGCTGGGCATCTCCCTGGCTGCCCTCCTGGGCAACGGCCTCATCATCAGCGCCGTAGCCTGCGGCCAGCACCTGCACACGCCCATGTTCTTCTTCCTGCTCAACCTGGCCCTCAGCGACCTGGGCTCCATCTGCACCACTGTCCCCAAAGCCATGCACAATTCCCTCTGGGACACCACCACCATCTCCTACACAGGATGTGCTGCACAGCTCTTTCTGTTTCTCTTCTTCATTTCAACAGAGTTTTCACTCCTGACCAACATGTGCGACGACCGCTATGTGTCCATCTGCAAAC